AATATAACAACGTTACAAGTAAAGTGTATTAATTTAGATTTAGATCGACAGAACATTCAAAACACCTTGGATCAAATCCCCTCCATATGGAAAAGCCATGTCTGATAAACGAATTGTTAGATATGTGAAATAGGGTTACGATATGTCTTGTTTTTTTGGGTGACGAAATTTCTAGACACGAACTCGTGTGGGTTACGAAACTACAGACATCCTATACATGTACTACCCATTTTCAGACTTGTCATTGATTACGAATATAAATACAGCACCGGGGTCATCAAAGGTCAGATCATTCATTCAATGTATTTCCGAACCGAACAGAGGCGATCTATATTCAACCTTACGTGAAGTCTCGTTCAATGACAATCAGAATGTAAGGTTTCAAGATAAATCTTTGGAATGAAATAGTTCTTGCGCGTAACGAATCGCGGACAGAGATGACATTTCGTTTTTATCCATACAAGCGTGTGTCTGGATTAAAGCAACTGACAAAGGTTTGACTATGTAGTATTATAAAAAATCCAGACTAAAGCTACATCAGCAAAAGGTACATGATTGCGGGAAAGACTTTGCAGCGATGTCATTGTAACACTAATGTAAGATTAAAGAGTTGTGAATACACTGAAAGATTAAATATTTTACCAACCGATTCCATCACAACTTGACACGAAGCCACCAAGTCTCTCTAACTCTGAACAATATTAACAGGTCATAATTAAATAACAATAATAATTCATACCGTGTTCGAAATACCGCAGATTTTTGTCACTCCAGAAGTTATGAATCTGATCGATGATACACCAAGCCACAGTCCCTGTGATGATAGAGTATGTATGACAAGGTGCGGGAAACCTATCAGACTAAGACAGTTAGTTAATTAAGCATATACAGGTGCAATTACCCGTACACCTGTATGCATGTTGTAATTAGGTTGCTGTGCGTCGAAATCTCACCCCAAACAAAAAGGTTCAAGGCTACTACCCAGGTTAACAAAGACACAGAAGAAGAAATACTTGTTATGGAACGACTCATTTCTCTTTGCCGGTTCTTTGACATGAATTAGCAGTGAACATTAAACATTAATATACGTTGTGGATTATTTGTACCGTATGTAGAAACTCCACGGTTCAACAGACCCCAACCCATCGACTCGAGAACATGGAACCTCTCATGTACAGTACAACCAGAAATTATTGAGAATTTAAGATAGTCATTTTGCATGTTTTCACTCATTACTCACGTATTAAATGTGAGAATATTAGCAGAACATAACTCAGATTCAAGACAGATTGAACAGTTAGTATTTATGTCCAAGTCACTATGGGCGGCAATGCAGGCTTCAATGCGTGGCGGGGCATGCTACTGATCAAAAGAAGTTAGAAAGTCGTGGTCCATACTGTCCCCATATCAGGCCACCTCTTTTACTCATTTTAGCAATATTTGTCAGATTTTCTTATTGTACTTTCCTTCATAAGTCCCCAAACATTTTCTATTGGTTTAGGTCAGAACTATAGGCAGCCAATCTAATAATGTCATATTTTGAGTCGAAACCCAGGCCTGTGAATGCTTTGAACGATGTTTTGGGTCGTTGTTCTGCTGGAAAATCCAAAATGTCCATAGAACGCGTGAGCAGATGGAAGTAAATGTCCCTCGAGAATATCTGTGTACCGCTCACTGTTCATATTCCTTCAAATACACAGAGGGGAGTTGCCCCTAACACAGATATGCCACCTTACGTTAAATTTCGGACTATTACTTTGGGCGCTGATACAAAAGGTTTTCAGTTTGTTTGGTCCAGGAATTTCAGTGTATTAGGAAGCAGCCACACAGAGCGAGCTCATCTGACCGGAATCCACATTGTCCCAGTTAAAGTTCTATGCTGTAAGCACCAGTTCAACCTTCTATCCGCCTTTTGTTCCGGTTTTCATGATCGGTGATGGAATTCCTCGACTTTTCTGCCAACCATTGCATGCAGCTCAGTTCTAATTGTCTCCTTACAGACAGCCAAAGTTCCTCTATCAATCATATCCAGCCAAGTTTTCTAAACTCCTTCATTTAGTTTTAGAAACAAAGAATACCAAGCCGCCTCCAATGTCACCGACAGTCAATTTTCTGGAGCCTACCTGCGCTGCTCCTGGTGCTCAATGCCATAACCATTTGCAGTATTTTTTAAAACAAGATAAACAGTGGACAAAGGATGCCTGCTCTACTTGAAATCACTTTAGCTGATCTGATGTCCTTGTTTATTGTCTCTAAAATCAACTTCCTCTTCTCTAAATCATCCATACTGAGGATCGCTGAAAATGTCGTCTGCTAGCAAATAAACAAGGGGATAACTCTTCACAAACTAATGAAAAAGGATTAACGGAGTTGTCTCTCTTAGATGAAACCAAGCGCTTGATAGCTGGTCAAGGTTGTTTATACTAGAAATCCAATTAAAGCATATTCTAAAATTCTCTCAATAATTTCTGGTCATACTATATATCTACTACATACATGTATCCTCGCCACTGCTCACAAATTGTACACTGTAAGTTTTGTATTATAGAGCATATATCGTATGACAGGGCATATATCACATGCTTTCGTTTTATATAATTCATATTTACTAATGTAATTCCAATAATTTATCGTAAATAATTAACTTGCCTTTGTCCTTTGGATTTAACTCGGGAGGAAATTTAGAATTTGGTTTGTCAATGAGTAAAGGAATACGTTGTAAAATTCGATTCAATGTCTTCAGATACTGCTAACTTACCACTCAACTCTCGTGTATAGCCCTACCTAACCTCGTGTGTCTTCGGGAGCGGATACTAACACTGCATTTAACCGCCACAGAGGAATAATAACACTGCTGACCGAAGCGTGCAGTAGTAGAGTTTGAAACTCGTCACTCGGTGAAATACATAGGTCTACACGGAGTGGACGCACTCGTCGCTTTTTGTGAATACTAATGACCCTTTCACACGTGGGCATATTACCACATATTGCGCGACTGACGTCAATATCATGTTAGATGAGCCACGGAATCACAGCAATACTTTCAACATTAATCTGGGCATGTAATGATCAGTTAGCCGAGTTAGCAACATGGTCGGATATAACGTTCCAACAAAGGGAAAGAGCTCGTCATACTTATATTGTCGTGGACAAAACACGTGCTAGTGGACTGACCGCTGGGGTGTTTGGGTGTGTCCAACAGTTGAATGTACGAGAACCCACTAAAAGCGTTCAACGGTCGGGGGTTTGTTTTTCAAATTTAAGGGACAAGACAATCAAATCATCGGTCCCTGATATCCTCCCCTCTTCATCAGACCCGTGAAGGTCCGGGTTAGAATACTGATCTTCAGTAACCCATGCTTGTCGTAAGAGGCGACTAACGGGATCGGGTGGTCAGGCTCGCTGGCTGGGTTGACACATGTCATCGGTTCCCAATTGCGCAGGTCGATGCTCTTGCTGTTGTCACTGGATTGTCTGGTCCAGACTTGATTATTCACAGACCGCTGCCATATAGCTGGAATAGTGCTGAGTGCGGCGTAAAGCTAAACTCACTCACTCACCTCTTCATCAAATGATCTAATCGTCAGGCGTTTCAGTATCATCTGAATTAAGCATGGCATATTGGTGGAGACTAGTTTTGTGTTTGTTTGTTTAATGTTTAACGCTACATTCTGTAATATTCCAGCTATATAGTCTGTAAATAACTCGATTCTGTTAGTCTCCTTTATGGGTTGCTGAAAAGCAATTGTAATTTACGGGTCGGGATATGAGCTTCGTATCACACAGCCCTGTGATAGGTCGCTATGTAGCCTGCGATGGCTGACTGTGTGTCTCTGATGGGTGACTGTGTGTCTCTGATGGGTGACTGTGTGTCTCTGATGGGTGACTGTGATGGGCGACTGTGTGGCTGTGATGGGCGAGTTTGTGTCTGGACGATAGGAGAGTTGACTGATCATAGACGAGCCCCAATCCCACCGCAGTCGATGAAATAAATCTCTGTCTCCCCACCACCCCTCCTCTGATGGGTTGCAAAGCGTTCGCTCGTCACGACGAAGATGCGGGTTCGATTCCCCCATGGGTACAATGTGCGGAGTCCATTTCTGGTGAATGTCAACTAAATCTAATTACTGTGGGGAGTCAAAATAAACGTTAAACTGTAAAGTTGTGTTTGTTTTATTTTGGTAATGAGTAATATTTAATGTTTTGCAATGGTGACTTTTCGTAGAGAAGTCTCCATTACTGATAGGTAATGGAGAGATCTACAATGACCAAGCCGAGCAGGTGTATGTCAATATATAGCACCCATACCGACACATATGGCTGCTTTTGGTAAAGTGACCAATGTAAAAGATGGAATTTCCCCAGTACAATTCTTACATTTGAATTTTTGATTTACTTTTTCATGTACACTTAAGGTACAAATTATTGTGAACCTTGTATATGACATTATCAATTAAAGATAGTAGACATTTTCAAGTTTTGGGGAATAGAATTACTCTGCCCGGTATTATCTAACCAGCTGATCGACAGTTGAAGACTGCTAATTGTTTCCCAGTAGTGTATGCTCGATCAAAAACGGGACTAAATGCCTGGGTGACTTGGAATATTGCCGAGTTCGCCCTTTAACAGCACAACGATTATCCTGAAACCCTGAAAACTATATATACCACTATATAAACCAAAAGAATTTAGTGGATGCTTATGCACACACACACACACACACACACACACACACACACACACACACACACACACACACACACACACACACACACACACACACACACACACACACACACACACACACACACACACACACACTTCGGTGGTCCTTGTTTCACGACACGGTAATCTAAATAGCGCCAAGCGGTTCTCTCAACCGACAGGCGGAAAGAGGAACACATCTCAATCAAATAATATTTAATCCCTTTTGTGAAATTTCAACTTGATTTACTGATCACAAAATCATTCAGATTAAACACTGACAATATTTTACTCACCTTGATTTTGTGTATTCCCTTCAAGCCCGCGCCTCTAATGTGTTAGTGTGCCAGTATTGTGAAACAAGATCGGTGAAGCGTGGCTGTACAGTGTAAACAACACTGGTTGCCTAGATACCAAACCGCTGGTAGAATATCGGCTGCCTTATCGACCTCTACCCACTCAATAAGTCCAATTAGGTGGTCACCCGTTGATGATAGACAACAAAGGCTCAAGGACACCGATGTGAGTTGGCAGCGATTTGCAAGTACCGCTAATCATAATAAATAGATATGCTTTGTGTAGATATAAAGAAAGACCTGTAGCAACTGACCAGCAACAATAGTTTGATAATATTAACCTCCTAAATAGATTGAAATTATAGTTATAGTTGTTATGGGCTAGCTGGTATAAACTTTTCACCTAAATATGCTTTTTACTGGTATGAGTATGCTTTATCAACTCCACAGAGCTCCACATGTTGAAGTCGCCTGTTGTAAACCGCTTTGAAGTCAGTAATGATGCTCCACAGCATTTTCAATGTGTGTGTGTGTGTGTGTGAGAGAGAGAGAGAGAGAGAGAGAGAGAGAGAGAGAGAGAGAGAGAGAGAGAGAGAATGACTAACGTCATATTGCAGGGGCGGTGGAGTAGCTTAGTGGTTAAAGCGTCCACTCGTCACGCCGAAGGCCTGGGTTCGATTCCCCACATGGGTACAATGTGTTAAGCCCATTTCTGGTGTCCCTCGCCGTGATATTGCTGGAATATTGCTAAAAGCGGCGCAAAACTATACTCACTCACTCATATTGCAGGAGCACTGTGTAATTTAACTCCGTTCTCAAAAGCATTTTACACGAAATATTTAAGTTAGTCGAAACCTTTTACTTACAATGTCTCCTTACTTTGCTTCATATTCTCCTTATTATTTCCAGTGTATAAATTGTGATGGAGCGTAAGGGGCGTGTATCCGTGTGTGTGTGAGAGAGTGGTGAGGGTGAGATATGTAATGACGGACGCCATACTGAGGGAGTACTGTGCCAGACAGTACATTTAACTCTGATCTCAAAAGCATTTTACTCGAAGTATTTAAGGCTAAATCGAAACTTGTAATAAAGGAAGGATCATATTCATGTCGGCTATGGGATTCAAACCCATCAACATCAGATTCTAACACACCATTGGAGCTCAACGCTGTGTCGTGTCTATACTTCCTCTAGCAGACAAAAGTTCCAATTTTCTGATTTCATAAACTTTTGAATGTTAAGGGTTAAATAATAAAAAACAGAATTCGGTTAAAAACTTCTGCGACAGTGTATTTTAAAAAGTACCCCTTTAATGAAAAGTATGCTTTCATTAACTTCACAGTTGGTATTGGACATCATTTCCACGTTTCATCAATGTAATAAACATGCCAAATATTATAACTAAATGCTGAGGATTGAGTTTCAAGGACATTGTTAAAAAAATCTGCAATATCATTTAAAATGATCAGCTTGAGATTATAATGGCATTTCACTACCTTGCTTGGAGAACTCCGTGTAGAACAAATATGGTGATTTTCCATTTCAACAAAGAAGTGTTAGTGCAAAATATTTTTAGGGGATTTACTACTTGTGCAAATAGTTTTTGATTGGCTTAACTAAGGCTCCCAGAATGTATATGAATATTCAACAAGTTATCAACACTGCGTTATGTGACACACATTCGTCAACAAAGCTGTTGCAACGTTCAATGCTATTTCAAGCTCAAGAAAAATTGCGCAAGAAAAAAGTTCGGGGACTTTTTACTTGTGCAACCAGAGTTTTTGATTAGTTTAGCTCCGACTCACCGAATGTATAAAATGTGGCTGAAATCTTGACTGAGGACAGAATCAACGGAAGCGTGATCCTGAACTGACATAAAGAAACCGAAGTTGTCAACTCAGCATCTGAAATCTGAAGACCATGGGCGTCAAAGTAAGTAACATTTTGAATTGCATTTTTGTGTTGGGGATTAAACTTTCTTTTTACTCGGGTGACTTATGTCGTCGCAGGTCACAAGTCATCTTCAGTAGTTGTCAACGCCCAGTAATATTTAGCTCACCTTGCCATCGTCGTCGTTAATTATTCTTTATCTCACCTAGGAAACACCTAGTTATAAGTATAACTGATGCATAATGACTATTTAATCCAAATGTAAAGAATTACTTGTTCCAAGGGATCTACAACATTTCCGTTTTATACGATAATTTTATCTTTAGCTTGATTTCATCAAGGATCTCCGTCTACACTGAAAACAGAAACTACTCTTTCCTTGATTAGGCATTTTATTTCAGTCTGTTATAGAATTCCATACTGTCTAATCTGCCATGAGGCTCAGCACACATGTTCAGTTTATCGTAATATTGTATTTTTCGTAAGTACCTAAATTTGACTTTTGCATTTCGAGCCATAGTCTCAAATTCTTTCAATATGCATTTCCTGGAACAGAAACATCCCAATACAATTTACGACAGATTGCATACTAATTTTTGTTCAGAATGTAATTAAATGTGGTATACGAGGGTGGTTCAAAAGGTAGTCGGCCTTACCTAGAAAATGATACAAATTCAGCTGTTTTATGTTTTAATTTTTCTACATATTATCTGTCAATCTCAAGCAAATTGGTTTTGCTATGTTCCAGCCGCAAGATCCCAATTTTGTTTTACTTTTTATCTTGGTACCCCCAAAACGCAAAAATCTGTAATAAATGCATCACAAACTTCAGGAAACAAAATATGCAAAACACATTTTTGTGTGTTTGAGATAGGTAGAAAACCGCTAGAATCAAATTTAGATATTAAAGTGCATAAACAAGCAATCCTGAAACTGCAATCGCTTGTTAAAGTGACTCCCCTTTCATGTTTACTGAAAGAGCTTGTTTTGGAGACACTACCCACCCCGTTCAGAGTAGGTAATCATAAGGACATAACTTATTCTAATGTTTTCACTTATTCATACACGATGTCAAGGATTCAAACTAAATACTGAATGGTCAACAAGTGTCGGCTCTCTCAATGTATTGTAAACAGTGCCAGCTTGAATATCTGGACACAATGTTTTTGAAAGATTAAAGGGACGGCCTTAAAAACAGCCCCTGTCTAAATATAAATCAGGCAATCCTAATCTTTGAATGTTGAATATGACGTGAAGTCATCCAATACTATACTGAATATATTTTATAAAAATATTATCTGAGGGCATACCATTATCCAACAGGTACCAAAATGACAGCTCGTTTTCATTTCTGTATTTTCTTTTGAAATATTATACCCAAATGGGTTGTGATGACTAATATCTCCTTAACCACATTACCCGCATATGTGAAATTTTGGATATGGCTTTGCTAATGATTCCTTCAAAATCTACTGGAAGCTTTTCAAACATTAGACATCGAGAATACAGTTAGGCCGACTACTTTTGAACGACCCTCGCATGTCTAGCTGGTAGTGGAATCACTTGTGTCCCATTTCGCCTTTGAGCAGCTGAGCTGAGCTGGATATCGGCGCTATACAAATGTTAGTATGTATTTTATATTATATTGTTTTTACTTTAATTGGCTGTTTTATATTTTCTAGGTAACATTTGTTCTTGCACTGGTCCTGTGCTTCTGCGCATTTGGCTATTCAACTCCCGTAGTGAAGAAAGTAAGTAATCGTTGGCTTTTGTTTTGGATCCTTTTCGTTATAGTGTGTTGTTGTTTTGTGTCGTGTTTTTAGTGTTTAGTTTTTTGTACAGATACTATAGTACTGTCGGAAATAGAAAATAACTGATTTTAGGCTGTTACTCTGTATCCCTAAAATTTACACAATTGCAAATAGCATATGTCGAAATAACCCACATCGGCCTAACTGGGCGTTCAGTGGGATGCGTAATACGATATCCAGAAAAGCATGTTTACTCGTAATATCGGGCAAAACTTAGAAAAAAACTGAATAGCTGCTGAAAACAATAGATCAGACTATAGATGGCAATTAGGTCGCTCAGCCAGGTATGACGACGGACCGTTGACCCACCTGGCATGAAATGCACGTGCTGCCTACAGGCACAAGGGGTCATCTCAAAGATATTTTGTGCTTTTGCATGTGTGTTGACTATGTCTCATCTATTGATTAACATCTAACGTGTCTTTCTTTCATATAGTTTCATATAGTTTATGTTGAGATATATAAAAGAGTATGATACCCGAAAACCATAGAAACGCATCGTAGTATATAGGTGGCATGACCACCCGAAGATCGACAGGAATGGATATTATTTGTAAATTGTTATGACGTGCCGTGTACCTCCCCAGTATAATTGCCCTAAAGGATTATCTTATCTTAGCTGATATCTCTATCCCCAAGCCCGGCCCCATGTTTTGCTTTTGAGACGACCCCTCCTGTCTGTTTCTTTTCATAGTGACAGTGAGACTGCATGGTAGCTACATCCTTAATAGTTTCGGCATAATATTGTTCGGCGTTAAACAACGAAATGAAAACATAAGTGATATTTCATGACTATTTTAGCAGTAAGAAACATGTCCAGACGTAAACATTTCGAATGCATTGTCACGATTTGGATCACATGTTAAATCTTTATTTTGTTTTCAATGCCAAATGCTGTGTAAACATAAACGAATATACGTTCAGCATTAAACAACTAAATTCAAAACTAAGTCATGTTTCAAGCTAAAAGTGACTATCAGGTCCAGGTGTAAACATTGCGAATACATAGTCAGTGGGACACCATGATTTGCCTTTGCTGTTTCTCAACAACATGGATAAATATTTGTCCAAAATATAAATATATACTAATAAGTTGGCATTAATTTGAACAAAACTATTTTTAAGAACTGACAAAATGACATGTGTTCAACTTTGTTTCCAATTTTCACGTTGACCAGGAAATAGTATTCTCATATGGGACATCAGGGGTGTGATCACATGCTTCAATATATTTAAGTTTTCTTGGTGAGTAAGTTCTTTCAAATATAGTTTAACACGAACAATTGGCATGAGTTTACCTATGCTGTCTATTTTACAAAAGTTTCTAAATATCATGAATAAATATTTGATATTAATATGTAGGTATATACTAAACATCTGATATTAATTGGAAGAAAAGTATGTTTAACTACTGACAAAAAGATGATTTCTTTCGTAATGACCCTTTGGTG